CACAAACAGACACACACAGACACCTACACACACCTGCTCTCCCTCGTGCATGCACATGCCTGCTCTCCCTCACACACACACACAATATACGCCTGCTGTCCATCACGTACACACACATATACACGTCTGCTCTCCCTCTCTCACAAACAGACACACACAGACACCTACACACACCTGCTCTCCCTCGTGCATGCACATGCCTGCTCTCCCTCACACACACACACAATATACGCCTGCTGTCCATCACGTACACACACATATACACGTCTGCTCTCCCTCTCTCACAAACAGACACACACAGACACCTACACACACCTGCTCTCCCTCGTGCATGCACATGCCTGCTCTCCCTCACACACACACACAATATACGCCTGCTGTCCATCACGTACACACACATATACATGTCTGCTCTCCCTCTCTCACAAACAGACACACACAGACACCTACACACACCTGCTCTCCCTCGTGCATGCACATGCCTGATCTCCCTCACACACGCCTATTAAGCTTTCTCTGGTGGCGCTCTGCCAACCACAGTCCGCTATTCTTGACCACCTCACTGCATTTGACAAGGTAGGTAGCTCTGTTTCTCTCTCTGGGACCAGTCTACTTGCAAGGTCACCATTAACACCCCCACTCTACCCCCACCACCCCTGACCAAGGAGAGCTGCTACTGAAAGAGCCTGGATTACACCCCGCTGGTCCGCTTATCAGTTACACAGCACAAAAGCGTGGTTAAATGCACCTGATCTGTAAGAGATAGGGACCTTCTGCTGTGGTTGTGGGGACCCGGCTGCCCTTCCTACTGCCTGTGCTCTCTGTCTGTGTGTGTCTGTGAACTACTGACTGAAGTGCTTATTTCTGTGTGTGTCTATTCATTTGTGATTGAGTTTGTGTTTACATTTTACAGACTGAGCGTGAGCATCCATGGGTTAGTGATTATGTGTGGGAGTTTGTGTTTTACTGGTTGAGTGATGGTGTGTTTGCATGGTAGTGATTGAGTGTGTGTGCTTTTGTAGAGATGTATGAGTAACTGTGTGTTACAGACTGAGTGTGTGTGCTGCTATATGTTAATTAATGAGTCTGTGTGTGTGTGTGGGGGTGGCATGTTTAAATTACATTGTGGGGACCAAATGTCCCCACAATGCGATAAAAACATTTGACCTTGTACAGACATTTTTTCGGTCCTGACAAGTATAATCTCAATATTCTGAAAATCTCTAACTGAAATAAAAAAACTAATAATGCCATAAGTCTTGTATTTTGTTAGGTTACTTATGGTTAAGGTTAGGGTTGGGTAGGGGTTAAGGTTTTCATTGTTGGGATTAGGGTTTTTCCCATAGAAATGATTGGAGAGTCCCCACAAAAGTATAATTACAAACCTGTGTGTGTGTGTGTAAATGTTACCATTTGTGTATAAGTATATGGCCAAGAAAGATTCATCTGCAGCTATTCTCCAAATCTTGCTCCCCAAGTGGATATTACGTCACAAGTGACAGCCTGCAGCCCAGCTGGTACGATGGTGTTATAGATTATCATGGCTGTGGTCATGTTGTGCATCTCACTGGCCTGCTCCCGGCTGGGCTGGGCTCATGGAGACCCCATGTAACGTGTAACAATATGCTGGAACATGGGGGCAGAGCGGCGGCTTAACAAGACCACGCCCAAGCAAAGACACTATATCGGATGTCCAAAAAGAAGACTGCACAGAGCATAAGCATCATTCATAGGTCACCAGTGAGAAATGATTCTTCCCTTAAACCTCAAAGGGTAGTTTTCTCTCTGGGCTTGTTTTCTGCTTCCCATTTTCAATGGGGTATAATAATCAATAAAAGCATAAAATAACATTCCAATTTCCTGTGCCTGACCACTCTAAGCCAAACTTGGCTCAGCATATAACAATAACTGTATGTCCTCTTATGTTACCACTATGTCTCTCTCCAGCCTCGTCCCGGCCCCCAGCCCCGAGCAGAACGCAGACGAAACAGCACAAGTGTGTGATTCTGCCATTAAGAGTCTTGCGGAAGCTTGGGGACCCAGCACCGGCACGTTGCACTCGGAGGCCCGCTAATTACCGCACCCCGGACCACGACCCAGTCGCCCTCCTCTCTCTTACTCGCCTGTGTAGCCCTGATTGTTCCCGCAGCGTGTACGGTTATAAATTATTCCTATTTCCTTTCTCGACAGCTCCCACCCCCCCACGTTGTGGTCTGCAGCTGCGAGCACGTAAATGAGACCCCCCCCAAACCAGCCGTCCGCGTGGTAAAAGGGGGCACTGTTTACTTTCAGGCAGAAAGTAAACTGTTTAGATGGCAGTGAGACTCGAGGCGTGCTGGCTGTGGATAGCACGCCCTCCTTCTCTCTCTCTCGCTTCTGTCTTCCTGCCTTCGCACTCCTCTTTCATCTGTTCCTCTCCTCCCGGCCCTCTGTCAACTCCCCTGTTCTTTCGCCCGCCCCCCCCACCTCATCGCCGCCACTCCACTCTTCCCCTACCTGTTAATTTTTTCTCTTCCTCCTCTTCGTTTCTGTCCTCTCTCCCTATCTCTCTCTGTGTTCAGTTCAGTTTATTTCAAAGCCCTTGACGCTACATTTTAACATTTTCAAACACGTGAAAAAAGAGACACAATCAAACAGCATAATAACATCTGTGTTCGTACTACTCATATCAGCCATCGATACAAAGAAACCACTGACGTACAGCAACCAGCAGTCATTTACATTCTCACTGCCAGTCTCTGCCTCCCCTCTCTCCCACTTTGCCCGCAGGAAGGGGGGTCTTACTCTCCAAGCCCATGGCTCCTCCCCAGCACAAAAGTTACAGCTTGCCGGTAGCCTTCCGCCTGTCTCTGCCTCCTGCTGCCCTTTCGGGGGGGGGGGGGGGGAGGTAGCGGTGTCACAAGGCAGCTCCCTAGAATGCTATTATTTTCCCACATGGGGCTTCACTTGTGCCCCCTTCAGAATGACATGTCGGGGGGGGCAGTGCTGAGAGGTGGCAGAGCGAAGGTAGCAGAGCATGCTGGGAACACAGCCGGTTCGTGTCATGCTGCTAAGGGGGTCCCCCCACCCAAAAACAGCAGGTCAGCGGCTCACATCAGATACAGGTGTTATGGTGTCAGGATGTGTGAAAGGTCTGGGTGCTGCTGACGTCACGCCAGCACAGTGACTGAAAATCATGTGGCCATGGAGACTGCAGAAACAGACTGGTCACATCAGTGTTCAATTAATTGACGTAGACTATGGCGAAAATTATTCGTCAACAGAGATTTTTAATTTTGAAAAATTAGATGATAAAAAAAATGAATGGTAACACTTAAAGCTCTCATCTATACATCACTACAGATACTTTGATAATGCATTACAATGGTCAGTATAAGAGTTAAAGCATAACAGCATCTTCTAGTGACAGTCATAAGGCATTATAGTGTTGATTATAATACTTCATACGCGCCAATGAAGCTCTAATATAATACACTATAGGTCCCTTCATAATGCATTATAATGGTCTGTATAAGAATTAAGGATGCTTTGTACTGCATTATGAAGGTATCTATACAGTAAAATCCCGTTATAACAGACTTCAAGGGACCTGGCAAAACAGTCCATTATATCCAAAGTTGCTGGATTTGTTTGTCCGTTATAAGTGTGTGTATAAGCGAAATTCCGTTATATGCGAGTCCACTGCATCTGATGCTTTTTCTGCACGTTCGTAAAGGTGCACGGCCGAAACCAGTGGACCTCGTCCGTTATAGACGATATTCCGTTATAAACGAGTACACTATAACGAGATTTTACTGTAGTGCATTATAGATGATAGCTTCATGAAGCATTACTAATGCATAATAAACTTGGCTATAATGTGGTACACATTTTTATGAATATTTATAGCCGTGTTTATAATGCTTTAGGAATGCATTATAGTGTTATGAATGTACAGATTCTAATAGATATGCCATTCATAGAAATTGTTACCAAATTAATTTCCGATGCCATAAACTATGATGAAATGTACTGACACTTGTGAAAATGACACCTTACATCTTAATATTAATAACAAAAATTATATTATACAATTATAAAATATGTTGTTAATGTGTGTTACAGCTATCATGTTTTGTTCATTGAAAGTATTTTGAACGCAATGCTTAAGGTATGTTAGGATGTTAAGGTATACTTATATGCTGCTTATGAATGCTCTATGAATGTATCAAAAATGAATTATGAAGGTGCAGTTAATGTAAAACGTTTCCAAATTAACACTGGGTCACATGACCGCAGAGGGCTGACCTCCTCCACGTACACATGTACATCAGCTTCCTTTCAAACCCTGGCTGACCTGTAGCTAGCTGAAGCCTGACCTATGGCTGACCACATATTGACCGTAGGAGGACAAGGAACCAGCCACGAACTGAAGGGTGATCCAGGGTTC